ACCGCACTGTTGTTGGTGGGTCAGAAATTTAAACACGTCTTTGTCCACATTTAATCTTCTAGGCACGATATTACTTAGTCCAGAAAAATGAAAGAATCCGTTTAAATTAAGTAAAATATTATGTACTTGAATTAGTCCAGATATTATAAAATGTAAGAGAGCACCCTTGAGCTAAATCCATCTCTCGGTGTCTCTCATTACAACTCCATATACCCGCGTATCACAAATACTACACCACTGCCAGAGACACTCTTCAGTTCGTCCTGGGGGACCCTGAGCCGTTCCCAGACCAGAGAAGATCCACAACTCTTCCAATGAGTTCTGGGGCCTCCTACTAGTGGGACGTGACCGGAAGACCTCTAAAAGAAGGCATCCTTATCAGATGCCCGAACCACTTCAGCTGACTGACCCCAGGTGAGGCTTGAAAGGCAGACAGACCAGTAAATCAGGAGCTTTGTCTTGTGACTCATTTTTATTTTTCACCATGACTGGCCAAAGCAACACCCTCATTACTGAGGATGAAGCACCAATTTGTCAATCCAATTCTTGCGTCATTCTACCGTCACTCCTAAACGTGACACCCAGATGGTTAAAATCTTCGGCCTGAGGCAAAGACCACCACTCTGACTCTGAGGGGACATTCCACCCAGTTCCAGTCAAGAAACAGAAAATTATAGATGGTATTAAAAAACCTTAAACAAAAGGACGGGTTTGGAGCATCTGAGAAACAACATGCCTGAGGCAACTTTTAACAAGAATAGTCAATTAGGTGATTGGTGGTGGGACACAAAGGACCAGCTGGGGCGACTGTGACTGAGTGGTTAGAGCAGTCGTCCTCCAATGGGAGAGTTGGGAGTTCGATTCCACCAGCAGCCACATGTTGAAGTGTCCCTGGGCAAGACACTGAACCCCTAAATGCCTCTGATGTGTGTCCCATCACTGTATGGATGTGATCTAAAGCTCTAATTATTATCTACAGGTTCAGATTAGCTTTGTATACATCTAGTAGAGAGCTGCATGAATGAGGGCACAGACTGTAAAGAGCTTTGAGCGTCTTAACAAGGTGCTATATAAGTACAGTCCATTTACCATTTACCAGCAGGGTGGTCAGAGTGGTTTCCACATCAGTGTGTTTACACACCATCATTCCTTAAAGCAACTTGAACTGAAGCCCAACCTTTGTGTTCAGTTATGTAAAAAATGAAAACAAGCTAATAAAAAACACGGCAATCAATAATTTACTCCCCTCTTTGATTTTCAAACTTGTCTCCATTAAAAAACGCCTTTAACTACTTCAGCGCATTGTTCAAGGACTTCAAAAGCATCTTTTATTCTCAGTTAATATTCACACATGTTCCAAACACATGTGAAATACAAAAGGTTGAGCCTGGCCAACTACAGTCATGCTTTGATATGTTGTGCAGAATATCAACTCACGTGTTGGGTTTTATTCCCTCCATTTCGTCTCTCAGGCTTTGATGATCGTATGGGGTCGTAGCGTTCACGGGCTCGGTTCATATGAGGCCGAAACTGTTTGCTCTGTGCTCGTGCACAGAGGTAGAAAGGACAGAGACAGGATGAGAAGCCAGTCAACCTCTGAGTGTGTGTATTTCTACGCAGTGCGTTGTGTAACTTGGAGAGTTGAGGAGTATCACCTGTGGAAAGAATCAACTAGGTGGGTGGTTTAAGACCTTTGATTCATGACCCTGCATCTGTTCTGTTCTTATCATTTGAAAGAGTTACTGAAAAGTTGCAGTAGCCTCTCACGCATTGACTGGAAATGAACAGGCGCCTGCTGCAGTATTTCATCCTGAGGCAGAAGCAGCTGACAGTTCAAAAGTATAATGAAATTCTATTTATCTGGTACAATAAAATATACATTATACACAATGCAGGAGGTCTTTCCTGGTTTTCAGTAAAAAACACTAAGAATAACACAAGGATTTGCAGGACTGATCACCAGCTACCAGAAACACCATCCATGATCTTTTACCCGCTTCTTCCATTTTGGGTCACGGGGGTCGCCGGTGTCCATGTTCAGCAATCACTGTGCGAGGAGCGGGGTGCACCCTGGACAGGTCTCCAGTCCATCACAGGGACACATTGAGACACACGAGACAAACAACCATTCACTCTCTCACTCACACCTAGGGACAATTTAGAGTTACCAGTCAGCCCAACATGTATTTTTTCTGTCTGTGGGATGAAACCGGAGTACCCGGAGAAAACCCACGCATTCACGGAGAGAACATGCAAACTCCACCCAGAAAGGCCCTTTGGACCGGGATTTGAACCAGGGACCTACTCGCTGAGAGGCAGCAGCTCTATCAGTATGTTGCCCACCAGAAACACCAATAACAATAAAATAGGTCCAACAGATGCATGAGTAAAAAGTAAAAGTTAAACTGAGACTGCTACAAACAGGTGCCCTCATAGGGCTTTGAATATATGGAAATGGATGAAACCAGGCATGACAAGACCAGTCAGTTCAGGTGGTCTACCATCAGGTGGGCCTTCACCAAAGACGGGAACAGTCATTTCCTGCTGGACCTTGTCAATGTCCTCTAATGGGACAGACAGCGAGGCATCTGACTGAACCCCATGCATGATGAGCAAAAACAGGCAGAGAGATGTGCAGCTGTGGCTGTCATTATTCACTTTGGCTTGGGAACTACTTTGTACTTGGGAACACAAAGTGTCACTGGAAAGAGGGAAGTCTGTGATACTCCCGTTGACCTTCTTTTTTCTAGTGCTGCTTGAAAGTTTGTGAACGCTTTATAATTTTCTATATTTCTTCATAAATATGAACTAAAACATCATCGGATTTTCACAAAAGTCCTAAAAGTAGATAAAGAGAACCCAGTTAAACAAATGAGACAAAAATATTATGCTTGATCATTTATTTATTCAGGAAAATGATCCAGTAGTACATATCTGTGAGTGGTAAAAGTATGTGAACCTTTCCAACAATTTTCAGTCAGGTCATCTGGACAGTTTATTTTTTTGTGCTGAAACGTTTCACGTTCCATCCAGAAAACTTCATCAGTCAAGGAAACACAAAACTGATTCTTCCCCCAACAGCTATAATAATAATAATAATAATAATAATAATAATAATAATAATAATAACTTTTATTTATAATGCACTTTACATTCACAGTGAATCTCAAAGAGTACAAAATATCCTGATGCATGCTCAATAATCCAGGTAGAAAAATCTAAAAAGTTAAATCTGGTCCTCTGGACATTCAAAAAAACAAAACAAAGCAAAACAACAAAAAAATGTAGAAACATTTCGTCTCTCATCCGAGAGGCTTCCTCAGTCTGAGGAGCTGTATTCAGCTCAGTCTCTTAAATAGCACCTTCTCAGAGTGGATCAACCAGTTTTGCTGCTGACAACCAAAACCAGCTGATCACATGCTCAAGAAGGACCATCAGCCTAACAATGGATCATTAGTACACTGATGGCTGTTTACTGTTCACAGAGGGCTGAGTGATACTAGCAATCACAGCATTGTAAGAGGGGGACAGTTGAACACGTAGGCCTCCACCCCTGTTTCATGATGGACGGTTTCTTTTCACAAAGATGACTTTGTTGGTATGTGAACCTTTGCTTTTAGTATCTGGTGTGGGTTAGTGTTAGAGTATCATAAGGAGTCTACCAGCACCAGTATGGAGTGACCTTGACTTGACTTTAAGTGATTAATGTTATATATTGATGTGTTGTGAATGATGATGTTCAGCATTTGTGACCAAACCTTAGACTGGTGTAAGTAAAGGCCAGCTGCTGCATAACAAGCTCTGCCAGGAATGCTTCCACACCACAAGTGTCTTCCCTCAGTTCTTATATTGTTGATAATGAGTTTATGTACGGGCAGCACGGTGGAGCAACTGGTAGAGCTGCTGCCTCTCAGCGAGCAGGTCCCTGGTTCAAATCCCGGTCCAGGGGCCTTTCTGGGTGGAGTCCAACTCTCATCGGGAACAAGCCCGACTTACTGCCGGCGATGCGGACCAGGCTCTGACACCGGTCATACAGGGACCTAACAGCCCATATCAAAGGGCCCGGTACCCCATACTCCCAGAGCCTCACCGAATCAAACGCGGGCAGCCGTCACCCACCGTGTCTCAGCGTTCAGCAGCTCACGGCAGCATAAGCGTGAGGCAGCTGAACGAACCCGGTGACGAGTTCCGCCTCCCTCCAGCGAGAGCGGCGCGCGTCCCTCCAGAGAAAACGTGTGCTCCCGCGGGGCTCGCAGCCTTCACTCCAACCGCACGGCGTAGATGAAGTCACGCCCTCCGCCTCTCAACGTTCGCACAGCGACGTCAAACACGCAGCCCCACGGCGTCATCAGCTGTCACACGCTTCGCCTCAGCACACACTGGCCCACCTGTACATGAAGGTTGGTCCGCGGTCCGAACGCAGCGCACGGGTGCGTTCAGAGCCTTTTTTCGAGGAAGCCTCGCCTTGGGTCACGCAGAAAACATTCCCGCGACGCATGACGGCGGTTGAGGGGCGGACTGCTGACAGCCGTACAAAACGTGACGCATCACTTAAACGCACGTTCACTCCACGAACGTTACGTAGAGTGGCTAAAACATGCTCGCCGTTCAGATGGATGGACAGGGTGTTATGCAAATGGTTACAAGTTACAGTTTGCAACCCGACCCCCTCCATTCGGAGGAGTTATAGAAACGGTCCTGTCATCATCAGACCAAATCTCATCCCTAAATGCAGAAGTCCAAGTGTTTCTGATAAAAGTAATCTCCAGAGTTCCCCAACGGAGAGAAAACACAGGGTTTTACTCACGTTACTTCCTGGTTCCCAACGGACCGGAGGGATGAGACCGATCTTGGATCTGTCAGTTTTTTCAACAAGGTGATCATGGACAGACCGTTTTTTCACATGTTGACAACCAGACAGCTGTTGTACAACATCCAGAGAAACGCATACCGATCATCCCAAAACACAGAAAATTCCTGAGTTTTTCTCCTTTCAGGGGATGAAGTATCAGTACAACGGGCTGCCGGTCATCGTACGTTCTGTGTATGGAGACAGCCCTGCATCTGTTACACAGAGCAGGGATGAGAGTTTTGTTTTACCTGGATGATCTGCTGCTCTTGTCACACTCCAGACAGGAGGCGTTGATGCAGGCTCAGGTGTTGACATCACACCTGTTAAATCTGGGCTTCGCCATAAATTGGAAGAAAAGCTCGATTTTCCCGGCCCAGACATTTGTTTATCTGGGAGTGGAATTAAATTCAACCACCATGAAGGCTCGTTTATCACAAACGAGATTCGACACTTTTAAAAGTCAACTCCGCCACGTAAGACCTGGCAGAGTGGTAACAGTTGTCTCCATCATGAAGCTGTTGGAAATGATGTCATCAGCTCACACAGTGGTTCTGCTGGGTTTGTTACACATGAGACGCCTCCAGAGGTGGTTTGCGCGTCTGCGTGTGGATCCATTAAAACAAAAGAGACGGATGATCACTGTCCCTCCCTCCGTGAGAGTAGACCTCCGACACTGGGGAAACACCCTGGTTCTGTCAGGGAGTTCCCGTCAGCAGACCCTCGTCACACGTGTCAGTCTTCACGGACGCGTCGCTGTCAGGCTGGGGGGGACATGCCTATCTCAAGCAGTAGGGGCGCTGTGGCCCCACCACCCATCAGCCCCCATAATTGTTTTGGAGTGTCGCACAGTGCTGAATGTGATTCAACACTCTGCTCCCGTGCTATAGAATCAACATGTGTTGATTCACACAGACAACATGGTGACTGCTGCGTACATAAACCGTCAGGGGGGTGTGCATTCAGCCCAGATGTTACACATTGCGCGAAAGCTACTGTGTTGGGCTCACCAAAACCTGCTCTCCATCAGAGCAGTTTACATACCCGGTGTTCTGAACAGAGGGGCAGATGTGATGTCCAGGGGCGGCCCACGTCACGCGGACTGGACCCTCCATCCAGACCTGATGGTTCAGACGTGGCAGAAGTTTGGCAAAGCAGCTGTGGACCTGTTTGCGACACGAGAGAACGCTCAGTGTCAACTATGGTTTTCCCTGAGCCCGCGAGACGATCCACCGCTGGGGGTGGATGCATTTGTTCACAGCCCATGGCCCAAAACGCTTCTGTACGCGTTTCCCCCACCTCCTCTGATTTTACGATTCCTGAACCGAGTTCAGGAGGAGGGATTGACAGCTCTCCTGGCGGCTCCCGAGCGCGTGAACGCACCATGGTTCCCAGTCCTGCAACGTCTGTTGTCGGGTCGCCCATGGAAACTGCCGTGGAGGGAGGACGCTCTCCTTCAAGCAGGAGGAGCGATCAGGAGTTACCCAGAAATAGGCCAGCACCTGTGGGTCTGGCCGCTGAGCGGTCCCGCTTAGAGAGGATGGGTCTCCCACAGGAGGTAGTGTGCACAATCCAGGATTCACGTGCTGCATCTACCACAGCTCTGTACACATCAAAGTGGACGGCTTTTCAGCGCTGGTGTACAGAGAAAGGTGTAGAGGCCACCTCATGTCCATTAGGCGGTGTGTTGTCCTTTCTACAACAGCTGATGGACAGTAATTTGACATTCAGCACAATTAAAACGTACGCTGCAGCCATCTCTTCCTGCCACGAAGGGCTCGGAGACAGAACAGCTTTTAATCACCCGCTGATGAAGTGGTTTCTAAAAGGCGTACAGAGACGCAGGCCTGCTTCACGCCCACTTGTGCCACAGTGGGATTTAACGCTGGTCCTGCGAGCCCTGATCAAAGCTCCATTTGAGCCTCTGGATCAGTTTTCACTTAAATTCTTGTCTCCTAAAACAGCCCTGCTGCTGGCTTTAACATCCGCTAAGAGGGTGAGTGATTTATCTGCCCTCTCTGCCGCTCCGTCATGTCTCAAAATCCAGGCTGACGGTAGTTCAGATGATTTAAGACCAAACCCAGCTTTTATGCCTAAAAACATCACGAGCTCTTTTAAATCAAGAGTGATATCGTTGGAGGGGTTTTTCCCTCCCCCCCACAGATCAGAAGAAGAAGCATCTTTTCTTCTTCTCTGTCCGGTGCGGGCGTTGACGTGTTACATAGCGTGCACAGCTGTAATGCGTCAAACTCAACACCTGTTTGTGCATTATAGAGATGCATCTGCAGGTCGCCCGTTATCCACCCAGCGCTTGTCACACTGGCTGTGTGAGGCCATTTCTGAAGCCTACAAGCATCAGATTTAGAGCCTCCTGTCAACCTCAAAGCACACTCGACCAGGGGTATCGCATCTTCGACTGCTCTGCATAATGGTATGTCAATGCAGGACATTTGCACTGCGACTGCGTGGTCAACACCCTGCTCATTCATTCGCTTTATTTACGTGATGTGACGGCTCGTTCCATGACACATTCTGTCCTTAGTGCTCTAACAGAATGAATATTGTTGTTCTCATGGAACTCTGTTTAAGCTCACATCTGTCTGCAAGCATTACAGTGTGAGATGTTATCAGTCACAAGTTGTGACTGTTATTTTGGTTCTATTGTCATTAATCAGTTCATGACTATTGTTACCAATCAGTTCATTTGATCAATAATCAGTTCATTGTTATTGATCTGTTTATACTGTTCAGCCATGAACCAGTTGGTTCATGCCCCCCCCCCCCTCTTCTTTTCAACATCCTCTCCCCGTTGAAAATTTCCAGGGCGTTCATGTTTTGTCAGAACGCATAGTTATACAACATGCGTCTGTGCATGGCACATAATTACGCAACGCGTAGTTATGCACATGAGGAGCTGAGTGACAAGACGTTTTTTTGGGCAAGCTTCTGCTTCATACTGTGTTCGAATGGACCCAGTGAGGCGAGGACCACATCCGCTTCGCCCTTAACCCATCAGCAACAGCCTTAAAGGGCGAAGCCTATACGACATAGAACGTTGGTTACGTACTGTAACCCCAGATTCTATGAGTATAGGCGTAACCCTTTAAGCGTCGGGCCTCACTGGCTCCTAAATGGCTGAAGAAAAAAGCTATTTTGGGTGCCGATTTCCCGCTCTTAACGTAATTTATACGGACCGGGTGGGGCCCACACAGCAGGTGGGCGTGGACTAAATTTTTTCAGTGCTTATGCTGCGCATAACGGGATAAACCCATCAGCGACAGCCTTAAAGGGCTACGCCTATACTCATAGAATCTGGGGTTACAGTACGTAACCAACGTTCCCAGAGTGCTGTATCAAGGCACCTCAGTGGGAAGTCTGTGGGAAGGGAAAAGTGTGGCAGAAAACGCTGCACAACGAGAAGGGACCTGCGGAAGCAGGGGACTGAGTCTGGAGTAGAAACATCCAGAGCCACCGTGCACAGGCGCATGCAGGAAATGGGCTACAGGTGCCGCATTCCCCAGGACAAGCCACTCTTGAACAAGAGACTGCGTCAGAAGCATCTCACCTGGGACTGCTGCTGAGTGGTCCAAAGTTATGTTCTCTGATTACAGTAAATTTTGCATTTCCTTTGGAAATCAAGGTCCCAGAGTCTGGAGGAAGAGAGGAGACACAGAATTCACATTGCTTGAGGTCCAGTGTCAAGTTTCCACAGTCACTGGGGTGTCATGTCATCTGCTGGTGTTGGTCCACTGTGTTTTATCAAGCACAGGGTCAATGCAGCTAGCTATCAGGAGATTTTGGAGCACTTCATGCTTCCATCTGCTGAAAAGCTTTATGGAGATGAAGATTTCATTTTTCAGCACGACCTGGCACCTGCTCACAGTGCCAAAACCACTGGTAAATGGTTTACTGACCATGGTATTACTGTGCTCAATTGGCCTGCCAACTCTCCTGACCTGAACCCCATAGAGAACCTGTGGGATATTGTGAAGAGAAAGTTGAGAGACGCAAGACCCAACACTCTGGATGAGCTTAAGGCCGCTATCGAAGCATCCTGGGCCTCCATAACACCTCAGCAGTGCCACAGGCTGATTGCCTCCATGCCACGCCGCATTGAAGCAGTCATTCATGCAAAAGGATTCCCGACCAAGTATTGAGTGCATAACTGAACATGATTATTCGAAGGTTGGCGTTTTTTGTATTAAAAACACTTGTCTTTCATTGGTGGGATGAAATATGTTAATTTTTTGGGACAGACATTTTGGGTTTTCATGAGCTGTATGCCATAATCATCAGTATTAAAACAATTAAAGACCTGAAATATTTCAGTTGGTGTGCAATGAATCTGAAATATATGAAAGTTTCATTTTTATCATTACATTATGGAAAATAATGACCTTTATCACAATATGCTAATTTTTTGAGAAGGACCTGTATATATGGTAAACTGACAAAAATATGCAAAAACATAAACTTGTAAAATATAGGATGGTGTTAGTTTTCTCACACCAAACCAGAAATGTGCTAGACTAAAATAAATAAAATAATTAATCTGTAAATCCAATGCCACAGAAATAATTTTACCTGTGAAAACGTTCAAAATAGAAAGATTTTGGAGACGTTTTTTAATATCCAGTTGAAACGTTCATACTCAGCCTCTACTGTTGTTCTTGACGCTCCAGAGAGTTTTACAACTCATTGCAGTTTACTTATTCAGTGCCAATTCACAAAGTTGTCTCAGGACACTGTACAATAACATTCACATACATTAAAAGATGTAAACAAGTAAACGTTATCTATCGCTGGAAGCCGTCAGATAGAGTTTAATCTCTACTCACAACCTCACACACTGAGCAAGTTCACAGGCGACAGTGAAAAGAAAAAACTCTTTTTTAACAGGACGAAACCTCCATCAGAACCAGAACCAGGCTCAGGATGGGCGGCCATCTGTCTCGACTGGCTGGGGTTGAGAGGACAGGAACGAGACACAGACACATGACGGGTCCAGGTGAGCTTCGATGGAGAAAACGATAAAACACGTTGGTGATAGAAATAACTGCAAATACAAATGAACAATAGAGTGAGTAAAATCAGCAACGTAGCAGCATAACTGAAGGATAGCTCAGGAAACCAAGCCGACCCTAACTATAGGATTTATCCAAAAGTAAAGACTTAAAACTGGAC